AAGTTCCATAAACTTTACTGTTCCCTATGAAGTTCAAAGAGTTTTTTTTGTGAAGTTCTTCGAAACATCTTTAAATACATACCGAAATTTGAAACAGAGTTCCATTCGTGTTTCAAACTCCCTCAGAAATAAAACAGAATAGTCGAGCAGTTGCAAATCTGGTGCAAAAAAGTGCTCGAATAATGAAACTGCAACTCAGCATTGCGAGAGGTGCGTTTTTGTTCTAGTTTCAAATTGAAACAGCCCTTATAAAATACAACAGCATTGCGAACGGCCTTAGTATTTCTTCCTTATTCCCACCTGATTGCAAGGACCTTCCAACCCATATTAATCCACCGAGCAGGTGTATAGAACCTCTGTTACCCAGGACAATCTCATTTTTGATATTATCTTGAGAAAAATTAGGCCCTAGGATTTGTTCTTATTTGTCTCGGTTTCAGTTCCTTCCGGGGTTCCTAAAACACGACCTGGACACTTCAAATTACTACCATGGAGGAAGGATCTATTCTAAAATCAGTCGAGATTTCTAGATAAACACTGCAATAGGTCCTACCTGTATTGATCGATTCTCTTTGTTAATCAATCAGCATTGCAAAAGTATTCCCTGTTGTATTTGACGTTTTGGATGCTAGATAATAACCTTCTCCATCTCCTAGATAATAACCTCCTTTAATGTAGTTTGGGGTGCTTCATCTTGAAAAAGAGATGAATTTCTAATAGGCCACCCTCCAATTCGATTCATAACCCCAAAATATGAATCGGTGCAAAAAATTACAAAAATGTATTGAAGTTTTAGAGTCTGGCCAACGATTTGAATTTTGTTTGGAGATTTCGATGAATTAGCATGGAAAATTATTGATTTTCACTTTCATTGCTCTAACTTGGGTTAAAGTTTGACCTACGATTTTAAAAATTTCTCCATACGAATGAGTAAAAGTGACGCACAACTGAGTAAAACTTATTCACTCTCTGAGCTAGTTTAGTTTCCAGTGTACAACGCAGTGCAAACCCGTTTTTAGCAGTCAAACGTCCAATTTAGTAGTAATAAAATTACGTATATTTCTGTTCATTATGATTGTACATTGATTTAACGTTTCAATTGATTAGCCGTTCTGGGTCTTGATCTTTGTTTCCTTGGATATACTAATTTAATATTTGCGTGGGGGGGGGGGATTGTTTTGTTTGAATTGAAAAATGTGATACCCTACCAAGGGGTAAGTCACTCAGCACGAAATTTGATTCGGCACAGCTTGGGCACATCCATCGGCACAATTTCGCAGGCATTGGATTGTTGTAAATAAAATGGGAGCACTGCTGAACAACTTTCATTAAAGTTGTTCACAGCATTACGTGCTGTTTGATTGCATATTCAGGAACAGCCTCTAATTGAATATACCAGAGGAACTCAGACCAGAAGTTTACTTCTCGGTTCACTTATAGATCTAAATACGAAATGATGGTTTTAGAGTGGGCTCAAGAGAGAGGCAGTTAATCAGACCCCATCAGTACCCTTAATTCACACAATGCTGCAACTCATACAAAAAAAAACTATAGAAGTCATATTCATCATCCTCTATAGTCGGTCTCCAACACAAAATACCAGAATTTTGCACACCCGCCACTTCTCGCGTCATCCTCAATCCGATTTATCCTTGCGATTTGAAACCAAAACATTCAAGGTGTCCCAAATACTGGGCTACCGGGATGGGTATTTTACAAACAATCGCAGCTTGCTCTGTGACCGGCACAATCGGCACACTGACAAAAAAGATGACCCAAGATTGGTGTGCGGAGTGACCTACCCCTTGTAACCTACCTTACTACGAGTAGAACTTAACCTAACGTACTAGATCACGTATGATCTGATGATCTGATCTCAGACAGGTGTCTCTGAACCTTTCCATGAAGATCGTTCTTCGCTCTTCTAGCGTCTGAAGACCAGCCGGTCAGAATTTCACGGCCGTGGAGGACTGCTTAGAATCATCCTAAGGATCTTATTCTGGATCCTTTGGAGTTTAAGGTGATGGCGTTTGACGAAACTTGGCAAAACCGTACTCGATTATGGGAAGGATGATTTCCTTGCAGACAGCAAGCTTGCTTTTCATGGACAAAGTGGATCTTTTGTTGATGACCGAATACAGGGATCTCATAGGGATGTTGCATTTTGTTTTTGTTTTGTCAACGTGTCCTCTGGAAAGCAGCTTGTTGTCGAGTGTAAGTCCGAGGTATTTAGGGTACCTCTTTGGACCATTCCACCACTGTGCCGTTCAAGTTGATCTAATTATTCTCAGACAGAACAAGTCTAGGAGATTTGGAATGCGGAAATGTTGAAATAATCAGACAGGACATCCAGACCTCTCTGAAGTTTGGCGGTCAGAGCTCCGATGACCCTACCCTTATAGATGATGAATGTGTCATCTGTGAACACGGACAATGATCCACCATCAGGGAGAGCCAGAATATCGGCATCCGATGTGATGCAATTCAGAGAGACTCGGAATGTCCTGTCCAAGAGATAGTTTTTTTTTTAATGATCTTCACTAGGAAGATTGAAATACCGTATCGATGCAATTGTTGGACCAGACCATCGTGCCAGACCTTATCGAACGTTTTTCCAACGTCCAACAATGTCATGGCACATGTTTTTGATACAGACTTGTTCCGTCTGAGAATGATTTTCATTCGAGTTAGCTGGTGAGCAGTCGAGTAACCTTTACGGAAGCCAAACTGCTCCTCAAGAAACAGGTTTTTTTCATCTGCAAATGCCAGGAGTCGGTGGTAGATTGCCCTTTCGAACAGCTTAAATAGATAACGAGAGAGGGTCGGTGACTTGAAGGAGAGGACGGATCTTCCCAGGCTTCTGGATGGGGATGACTTGAACTGACTTCTAGCACGAAGGGAAGTAGCCAAGTCTAGGTGCCAGTTGGTTGAAGAATCTGGAACTGAAGAATTTGGTCGAGACCTGGGGCTTTCATGTTTTTAGAAGATTTCATATAGTCCAACAGTTTGTCAGCCGTAATCTCGGAATCCACACGGTTGGGAATTTGATGGGAATTTTATCGTGTAAAATCTCCCTTTGTTTAATTTTGAGCTATACTTGGCATAAACAGCGAATCGCATTGCATGCAATATTGCGGTTCATGAGTTGATGGGTTTATAGGTAGGGTCCAGGTGTTGGAGCTTGCTCCGTGGCGTCGGTAGCATTGGCGCTCAGCACGGAAAACAAATCAAGGGAAAAAAATTTATGCCCTATGCCTCGTGGAAATGTAACAAAGTGTATCAATGTGATTTTTTTTTTCGTTTCCGAAAAACGCTGGAATTCGCTCAAAATGGGTGGAGTTTTACGGACTACCATCGGATTTTTCCCTTGGGAGGATTCTTTTCGTTTGTGAAGTGTTTGTTACTAAAGAGACTGAATTGGGTAAAGAAATGATATCTTATCCATTTGACAGGTCTTCTGCTCGATTGGAATAACTTTTCCTATTACTTCGCCAGATAATCGATTGTTCCAATTTTGACAAGTCGTCTCTTTATAAATTCAGCCTCTGTATATGTTACAATGTTAAAATGTAATGCATCTTCCAGTACCACTTCGAGCCACTTCGAGCACATCAATCTTCGGAACCGTTGCCCTAGTAGCATTCAACCGAACCGTGCTGAGCCTTGTGATACTCGACCTTAGGACCCGTCATCTTCCGTAATATCTCTGATTGCGGCATCACGTAATTTCACTTTGTATTTGCGTCGTTTTACCTTATTTTAGTATCTTCTGCGGTTGAAATGATCTAAATTGAGTTCAAATGGCCGTGGTTATCCAAACAGAAATAAAATTGCTCTTGTACTTGGAAAACTCTTTATCCCCAAATTCACGAAATCGAAACGATCCAATATTGAAGTAACTGTCAAATAAAAGCTGATTTATTTCCACGCAATATACCACCAGCCTCTATCGTCTACATTTATCTCAGCTAATCAAGGTCTCCAACTCATTACGCAAGCAATAGTCATAGCTCTTGGTCATATAAAAACAAGGTCAATATCGTCTATTAATCCGGATAATCCCCAGTGAACCTCACATAACTTGCGCCATTCACTGGGTGGAAAACAATTCCATGGGTCATTGCCGCATCCTCCCTTTCACCTTGCCCCTATTATTGACCATCGCTCACTAAAGTTGAGGAGGAACCTATCAGTGTGTTAGTCATATTTTGTTTGCCGATGGAGAGGGATGAGGGACCAAGTAATGATGAACCGTAGCAGTCACCCAGCAGTTCACAATAGCCAATAATGTAGCCACCCTTGGCAGGAGGAGGTGGAAGTCCAGACATAAAGGCGAAACAAAAAGTGAGAAAGTATGTTCACGTCCAACACCCGTCGGCCCACGGTAATCCATCCTAGTTGCTTCCGCTACTGGGCACACTCTCTCTCTCTCGCTATATCGCTTCATTGGGTTGAGGGCTGCCGGAAAATGAAAGCTTCGCTAAATGATAAATGATAAGGCAAAACTTTTAATTAACTCGGTTTTTTTTTTATCATCTGTGATCAGAGCAGATTTTCTTGCCGCTTGTCTATTATGCGGTGTTTCATTTCCAGCCACTTCCGGAGTTTGCACTTTATTCTTTGCACCATTTCGCTGTCACTCACTGAGTGAGTTGGTTAATGAGCATTCGCCTGATGGGTTGGGTCGGGGTTGTCGATTTTGGGGTATCCAATAAATTTCCTCCATCTGAAACGGCATTCAAATCGATTTTGCTTGATAAATAGTACTTGAAATTCCCAATAAAAATATCCATTGAACCACCCCTCGTTTTCTGACAGCACACTTCCACATTCCGGGTAGTTCATTTTTATAATTAAACTTGAGCATACGGAAGAAAACCGGCGGCACCGAAGCGCTCCACCTAAGCAGGATAATTAATGAACTAGTGCCAGCAACTTTTACCGCTTCCCGGTTCAAAATTATCTGAAAGACACTGAGTTTTCTCTTCCCTCTTCGCTAGGTACTTTGCCATCGTGCGGCCCCTCGAGTACCCGCTGTACATGACGCACCGGACCGTCGGGTTCATGCTGGCCAACGTGTGGATGCTGCCGGCGTTGATCTCGTTTACGCCCATCTTCCTCGGGTGGTACACGACGGCCGAGCACCTGGAAACGCTCAAGGACAATCCGGAGATGTGCGTGTTCGTGGTCAACAAGGCGTATGCGCTCATTTCCAGCTCCATCAGCTTTTGGATACCGGGCATCGTCATGGTGACCATGTACTACAGGATATTCAAGTAAGTAACGGGGTGCCCAACAAGCAATTTGAGCTGATTAAATGCTGAATTCGCAATTTGTTTGACAATTGTTGACTAAATAAGCTCGTATCAACTTTCAATAGGTCCATTTTCGTACTTGCTTTTCTGTAAGATTATTTACAGAAAATATCATTTTCTTACAGCAAAAGCAAAAAAGCAAGTACCGGGGCAGATCTAAAGTTTGATAGGTTTGCTGATCGTAATTTTCGGTATCATTTGGAACGGGCAGTGAAAGGCAGAAACCCATACGAGAATGAAATAAATTTAAAATTTTAAATCTCGACTCGCTTCATTATTTTTAAAAAATTGGCTTAAGTTACTGTTATACTACTCCCAAAGCCTTGAAGCAATTAAAAGCAATGCAAAACAGTCGCTCGTTCATTTGCCTCTCCGAAATCCAAATTGCGTAGCAACACAGTTGTTCCGTGCAGTTTTGACAAGACCCAGGGATCGAACAAAAACTCAGAGTGGTGCAAAAAACACTGTTACTACCAGTGATGGCACATTTTATTGATTTTCAATCTGTATTTTCATCGCAAAAATATTTTTAATCTGTATCTGACTGACACAAATCTGTAAAAAAAATCTGTATGTTGGCAACAAGCCCAAAAATTTAGTTTTGCCAGAATCGAACGGTTTTATTTTTAAATTTAATTTATGATTTCGATGATTATGAACCACCGTGAGTCATCTTTATTACATAGACGTTATTAATAATTATTTTTTTAATAAAAATAGTAATCACATGGAACATTAATTTCAAAATCCGTTCGATTTTGGCATGGTGCTAAAGTCGAACACTGTGCCAAAAACGAGCTTCCGTGCTTTCGTCTATTAACCTCTCTTTAAACTGTTCCCCTGGTAGAGGAGAATTAAGTTCATTCGAGACGGCACGAAGCATCAATAATCGCTTACCCTCACACACCATCGTCTTTAGGACTCAAGATTAGTGAAGTGACTATACAAATCATTTTCTTTTTAATGCCTCTTCACCCAAGAAATTTAGTACAGTTTGTTATGTACTCCTGTCGTTGTACAATACCTCACGGATTGAACCAACGACACCCATTTCTTCCCTCAATTGTGCTCGAGCCGGGCACTCCACCAATAGATGATTTACATCTAACACCGCACCGCAACCCTGGCAGTAGGCCACACTGCCACTAAAACGAGGTCCATGAGTGAGCCGTGTATGACCAATCCTCAGCCGAGTCAGAACATTCTGATCTCGAGAATTAGGTGCATCCTTCCACTCTTGTGTAGTATTCTTGATTCTACGCAGGAATGCATGACGGTTGTTATGCCAAGACACATTCCATACGTATCGGGAGGTCTGCTTCATCCAGTGTTTACCGTCACTATAGGGCACCGAAGTGACCTCTAGCTGAGCAAGACGACCCTGGTTAGCTAGTCTATCAGCAGCCTCATTCCCTGGTGTCCAGGTATCCATACAAAGGTTATGTTAGCGTACCGCTGCACCTCCAACAACCACGGGTGTCCAACCTGGCCATGCTCAAGGGCAGAGAGACAACTCGCTGAGTCAGAGAATACAACGGCCAGACACCCCAAATATATCCTTCACAAAATTGGCGTGCTTAACAAATCGGAGTTTGTTATCAATAGTCACACCAAGCAATTTCATCTCGCGCACGGCCTTGACCGCATGCTCACCGATACTAACAAATGGCAGACTCGGTCTGTGATGATGACCAAAGCAGACGTGCAACAGTTTGGACTTCTCTGGGGGAATCACAAACCCAACACTATCTGCCCAGTCAACGACAGACTGCACTGCATCCAGCATTTTATGCATAACCACCCTACCGTATTTACCTAACACGATGAGGGTGATATCATCGGCGTACACAATAATGTATACTTCCTTAGGAATGCGTTCAAACACTGAGTTTATCGCGATGAGAAACAGTCTAACCGAAATGACAGACTCTTGCGGGATGCCATTCTTCAGCAACTTCGAGGAAGAGGTTGCGCCAGCGTTCAAAACTCGGAACCTACGGTTCTGTATACGTAGTATACGTAGTTAAACATACATCCTTGGAAGTCCCATTTCTTGAGGGAAGTCAAGATAGGAAGCTTCCACATTATATCATATGCCTTGAACAAATCGAGGGAGACTACATCTACATGCAAATCTTCCGCCAAGGCTTGTCCAATAAATGATCGAGCTCAGAGAAGAACGTCTCCGATCCATAGCCGCATCGAAATGCGTCTTGATGTGGGTGGATCCGTCCTTGCCTCTCCAGCTCAGTTGACAGCAGGGCGTCACAATATCAGCTTCAATCAACCAAATCGATGTGACGAAGAGACTTCGCAGCATTCTAAAACCTCAGTCGGCGTGCACAAACAAATGTTCAATCGACAAGAGGTAATCTCCTAAGCAGGGGATACCCAATGTCGTCAGGGCTCGCAGCCCTACCAATGCCGCGGCGCAAGGTCCAGTAGGGTCCCGAACCGTTCCAAAATCAAACGGGTACTGTAATTTATTTATTATGGTCTCAGTGTGGATTTACTTAAATCTTCATTGAGTTCATTCCTAGTTCGGAAAGAGTTTGTTCAATATTTATAATCTTGAAAAATGACTAAAGTTTGCTTTCTAAACAATTTTCCTTTTTTTTTTCAAATCACGAAATGCTTTAACCTTGATTTTTTAAGTGATTTGTATTTTTTCTACAACTCAGAAAATACAAAACATTAAGTTCCAGTAGTAGCAAGCGACAAATCTGCTTCCAACGGAAAATTTCCTGGGTTTACTTGAATTACTTGTTTACCGATTTGACACACAAATATAGTTATCATATATCGCGTATCTGTCACCATGTGACATGGTTAATTAAACAAAAAGAAAGGGAAACTAATATCCTTTCCAACGACAATTCAGAACATCTGAACATCAGAGGTCCATTCAAAAGATTCCAAGCCCACTCGAAAATAATACAATCATATATAGTGAAAAATACGTTTTGGGTTTAATGCTCACAGATTGAATTCAAGCTGCTCAAAAGTATGAAATGATTATTTATCAGAATTAATAAATATTCTCCTTGTTTAAAAAATCTGTTTATTTTTCAAAAATCTGTAACCTGTACATACAGATATCGGTATCAAAATATTGAAAAAAAAATCTGTTTGGTTACAGATAAATCTGTACATATGGCATCACTGGGTGCTACTCTAAAATAAGGGAGCACGTCCCTTATATTTGGAAGGAGAAAGAGACACAGGAGAGAGATATTTCATATTTAGGAGAGAGTAGTTGGACAGCTCAGGTACTACTTGTGTAGGTATAGCACAATCGAGTAATGCACGGTATTATGACGGGAGTAGCACTTTTCAAACGGGAGAGACGTGACTTAGAGATTTACAAGAATGACTGTGTTGTAACGGTGGCCAAGAAAAGGTTTTTCAGGAGGATTTCACTAATTAAAACCGGACAAGAACTATGGCGTGTTCGAATTACGTGTTTATTTAATAACAACTTTTTAATGAACAAACTTCTCTTCTTTCTCTGCTCGAGGGAAGTGTTGGCAGCTGCCGTAAGCAAAAGTAATTTAACTACAGGTAACAATAAAGAAATATATCAAAGTTATTTAACCAAGGTATGACAGCTCTTCGTCCCTTGAAAGTATGCAATTACATATTTGAATCCTCACAAATTCAATTTTCTCGGAGGACGAATGATTCTGCCCGATCGTCTCGGCAATTGGTGTGCTCCTTGATGGTTAGATAGAGCGGCATCTCTTCCAGTCGTCGAACCAGGATCAGGAACTCTCGTAACCTCAGTCTTGATCGGCGCAGGCGGCGGCAGCATATGACTTGACTGTTGAGGTTGCAATTGTTCCGGCGTAGCATTGGGCAAAACACCAGAGTCAGAAGAAGCTTCAGGAACGATTGGGACGACTGGTTCATCCGGAAGCACTGTAGCGGGAACAAATCTATCACCAGATAGGTTTGTGCTGACTGTAGCTGGTCAACATGTCGTTTCCAAGTCCTTCCATCATCCAGATGAATGTAGTAGTGCAGTTTCCCCAACTTCTCCGAGATTACTCCGTACTTCCACTTGGTTTTGTCGTAATAATCTCTAGCAGCAACTCTCACCCCCTCTGTAAGATCGCGTACTTTTCCTTCTACCGGTTTCATAGTTCCAGAAGATTCAGGAATCAGCAGATCCAACCGTGAACGGATTTGTCGGTTAAACAGCATCATCGATGGCGACTTTCCAGTAGCTGGGTGGATGGTCTTCCTGTAGGTCAGCAAAATGTTACAGAGTTCAGCATGCATTGTACTTCTGTCACACTGAAGACTCTTCAACTTCGCTTTCAGAGTTTGGATGAACCTTTCTGCCAGTCCATTCGTCGCAGGGTGGTATGGTGCGCCCATCTTGTGGTAGACTCCGTTCATATTCAGGAATCTCTGAAACTCCTCAGACGTGAATTGTACCCCGTGGTCGGATACAAGCACTGATGGAATTCCGTACGTGGAAAAGTATTCCGGGCACACCTGGATCGTAGTAGCAGTCGTAATATTGTTGATAATCCTTGCCTCAGGCCACTTTGTGTAGGCATCCACGAGTACGATGAAATACGTGTTTCTAAACGGACCAGCAAAGTCCACATGCACTCGCTCAAACAGCTTTGAGGGAGTCTCCCAGCAATTTGTAGGTACTTTAGCTGACTCAGCTCGAGTGGACTGACATAGACTGCAGTTGAGCACTAGATCCTCAATACATCTGTCTACTCCTTCCCAACAGACATATCCACGGGCCAAAGTCTTCAATCTGGTGATACCAAAGTGTGTCGAGTGTAGTTCTGACAACACCTTGCTCCGCAAGCTTGGAGGAACGTAGACACGTATTCCCCTCAGCACACATCCTTTCTGAAGTGTGAACTCCGATTGATCTACTCCGAAGCGATCCCTGGGCTCGACAGGCTTCCCGTTCTTCAAACCCTGCACAAGCACCT